ATTCTTAATTTAGACATGAAAATGGCCAACTTCTGGGATTTAGCACCATTTAGACTGGTAGAAACTTTTTTGTCTTTTAAGAAGTGACACATCTTAGTGTTTTATAAAATTATTTAATTTCACAACCTCATAAAGCATAAATTGTCAATAATTAAGAATATGAACACAACATTGATGATACTAGTGTTCTTAGTTCATGAAAATTTGTATGGAGAAGTATTCATATCATGGTTATTTGTGAATTTTATACTGTTATATGTCCTATTTCATTTATTTAGAATATACCTCACTACATGAGAAATTTCTTGAGAAGAAATTGCTCTTTAAGTCATGTTTAGCAATATTTATTTACACAATGTTAAAGTTAATAATGACGTTTCTGAATCTCTTTATCATGCACAAATAAAATGTGTCACATTTTATAAAACAATAATTATTTTCCAATATTGGAGTTATGAAATGCACAATTATTAATACATCCTTGTACTGTTGATTTATGGCAAGGTTTCTTAACTGACCAAGCAAATAACATGGATAATTCTTACATAAATTCCAGAAGGATGATGGGAAATGTTTGTAACATGAATACCAAGCAGGTTACCTCAATGGCAATTTGTGTGATTATTATCTGTTGTGTACCCGGCAAACATTTCTTGTTATTTTAAACTACTGCTTTGACATATGTGTGGAAAAATGAACATAATTTTCGGGGACTTTAGATTTGTTTTTTTAAGTACCACGTAAGTGAAGGTTGTGGTTGTTCTGTGTCAGATTTTTGCTGAGTATGTTACTATCTTCTCAATTTCATCTTTTAAGCCTCACAGCACTTCTATTTTGTTCTTTAATTCAGTTATTTTACAATGCTGTCACAGTGGCCGCGTGGTCTGAGGCATGGGCCTTGTGCCACTTGGTCACTGGGACCGTGGTTTCAAATCCCACTCAAGACATAGATGTTTGTCCGCATCTTTCTGTGTTGTGCTGTCCTGTGTACAGGTAGAGGCCTTGCAACGGGCTGATCACTCATCCAAGGAGTCCTACCAAATGTCTAATAGATCAAAGCCAATGAAAGTTGGGACCCGCAGATGCTTAAGGCATTGAAGAATGGGTCGCCTAAGTAAGTATCAAGTAAGTATTTTACAATACTCTTTACGCTGCTCAGGTAACGTAGTATTTAATGGAATACAGAATGCTGGTTATGAATGATGCAATGGGAAAGATGGGGAGACAGCTGTGATCAGTTTTAAATTATTAACCTGGTGATTTCCTGAAGTCACTGAAGACAACTAGTAAAATTTAATCTGGATAGAACATCTCCAGCCAGGATTCAAATCAGATACTACCTAAATGTAAATAATTTATCTTGCCTCTGTATCATCACAGATGGTAGTAAATCTTGATTGGTACTTTTAAAAATGTTATGTGAATATTAATTGTGCTAAAATCTACTTTAAATTAATTATACAGTTCAAATTAATATTAGACAGATGACATATTATAATCATTACTGCTAAAACTTTATTGTCAATGTGACACATTTTACGTGTGATCCCTGGAGCCAAAGTCCAGCGAGCAGACCGTAATATCAGAATTTGAATCTACTATACATATATGACAAAGGTTAAAGTGGAGAAATATTATTTTATATTATGACAACCTAAACAGCATGTAGCATCTTAAAAACCTGATGAACCAAGATCTGGATTTTTAGTTGACAGTCTTAATTAAATATTTAAATTAAAACATATTTCTCCTTATGTACTAATATTCCCTTCGTCAGTATCTGGGTGAGGAGTAAGATGCAAAGGTGAGTCATTCACATACTAACAAGATACCAAAGTGCAGGATTCAAAATGACATATGTCTTGGAACCTACACAAGACAGAATTTTGTTTGTACACCAGACAATATACAGAAACATGTGTTAGGTGTCCCATTTATAGAGGTTTCAAGAGCTCCTTTGGGGTATCATTTTGCTGCTACATTTAATATTTTTCATCACCAAAAACTGAGCAGATAACTAAATTCAATTATATAAGTTATGAATTAAATACGACAAATGTTATAGCTTTATGCAATAAGTACTTCCCAGGACTTCTTGAATCTCTGTATGTGTATACTTCCAAAATTTACCACTTAATTTCATCTACATTTCTCAAAGTTGTATGTAGAAACATCTAAAATATTTTTATATACAAAGTTATACACAAACATTTCCTTGATCTCTGTAAGGGTTTCAAAGGATAAATATGTAAAAACACAATGAATGTTTGGAAAATGGGTCTCATGGGTTGCAGATAATGAACTTAATCAAAATGTAAGGTAATTCCATAAAATGTAATTAAATAAGAGTTGTGTACAAATATTGTGTGGACTATAATATGAATGTTAGAACAATGAAGATAAGGAAACGCCCTCTTACATGTTTTCTGAAAGGAAACTTCTCATACTCTAAAGCTTATATCCCATGTTCCCAAAGCATGTTAGAACATGCTAGAAAAGAAGAGTCTAAAATATCAACTGACTACAACCTTAATGAATATAAATAAAACTTTTGTTTTCTTTTAAGTTGATAATCGGTATATGTAAAGGGGAGAAATTAAAAATTTCCTTTATTTTAAGTTGGTTATAAATTACAAATCTTTTGGATAGCTATAATCAAGAAACACATCTGCATTTACTGTAGAAATTTACATATTGCATCTAAGAAAAAACACTCTCATGAAATTCAGAAAGAAGATTCTGTTGATAAAAAGCTAGTACAAAGTAACTTTTAAATTATTCAAAAAGATATGAAAATAAGTCAATATGATCTAGCTTATATTATCTATTATTTGTAATGTTCACATTATATTCTGATGCATTATCATTAGAATCTCCTTTGGCAACATGTTATATAACTACTGAATACATTATTCATGTAACAGGTTACATTTTGATTTAAAACTAGATGGATATTGTTAGACAGAAAGCATGAAATTTAGGTACGGCATTATGTGCTATTTACTTCCACAATACTTGTGGGGGCAAATAAGTCACATTTCAAAACATATTTTTTTTTTAATTTCATTTACCTGTTTTGTGAAAATTACAATAGTTACACTGAAAAAATAAAAACAAATACATACACTCCATAAGAGAAAAGCAAACGTTTTTGCCCACCTATAAGTCTGCATAGTGTTACAACGCAGAAGACCACCCACCACAGACATCTTCACTAATATGAAAATCTTTAATGATAAGAAACACATTTGTTCTACACCAGTTCAATTCAGTATGTGAACATTTTGTGATTCTGTGTACATACATTAAAGCTCAAGTCATATTTTGGCTAGGATAAAAAGAGCAAATGTTTCATAGCAGATTTTATAGTCTAATTATCTTTGATTAATTGATATGGGACAAGGTAATGACCAAATTTAATAGACAATCTGAAGTACAGACCTGTGCAGCTGTTAAAATGGCTGAATAGTTAAACTCTGTTTCAAGATTATCATACTGATAAACAAATAACAAGTGGTGCGTGTTGATTAATGCAGTAAAAAGAAAAAAATAGCCAAAGATATCTTATATTTATGTAACACTTTCTCATTGCACTGTTATACACTTTTAATAATGAATAAATTTATCAGAAAAATCAGTCTGATACATGGTTTATTTTTAAAATAATAATAAAATGAAAAATATTCTGTATATAGAGTGAACAAAACCAACAACTATTAACACTATAATGGACACTATTGCCATACGCGTTTCGACCTCAATAGGTCATCGTCAGTGGCATTAGGGAAATTAATACATATAGTCAAATGCTTCGAGCATGATGATGACCTCTTGCGGTCGAAACGTGTATGGCAATAGTGTCCATTAGTGTTAATAGTTGTTGGTTTTGTTCACTCTATATTCTAATACACTAAACGGTATGCAAAGTTTTAAGAAAAATATTCTGGTTTAAAAAATTTCAGATTCACAATTTATTGTACTATTAAATATTAATGTACTTTTATGACAATAAACAATATTTTATATTATGAACTAATTAATCATATTTTATTGAAACAACACTAATTTATTTTAAATAAGGTATAGAAAAAATATATCGTAAGATGGAATTGTTATGCTTTGAAATCCTGTGTAAGATATATTATATAGGGTCATATTTACGGAGCTGTTTATAAGTTCATATTCTTTATTCCCAATTTGAAATGTCATTGCTGGCATGGAATTTTAAAAGCAATAAGACAGAATAAAGACCATTACTTATGCATTTATGCAAACAGCATATTTGCTTTACTAAACTTGGTGATAAAATTTAACTGGTTTCCTCACTTACTTGTTAAAGCTTTTATTTGAATTAATAGTACCAGATCAACTTAATTTTATACAATATAAAAATTCTACTTCATTCCTATGTAGTGGTAATAACCTCACAGAGTATTAGCTTCTTGGAGATTATTTTACATCTGGAATAGTTTACTTTGTGATAATCCATGTCTATCTAATTTTTTAAAAATGAGCTGTATGCTGTTCAAGGACTACATGGGACTCTGAATGTATTATTTGTAAGAAGACTGAAGAGACGAACACAAATCATCTTATTGTTTCTGATAGTTTTGGCGTGGAGATATATATATAATATATAAAGAAATACTGGGATGTCAATCATTGTCTTCTGTGTTGTGACACTATGTGATCGCATCCAAAAATTGGTATTACCAACTTCACTGCTATGAGAATCTCAAATATATAAAACATTGGAATGCAAGGCAGAAAATTATAGTACAGTCAACACTGGATCACTGTCCTTTACTCATAATATAAAGAGTACACTAAAATGTCTGACCACAAAACTCAGACTGTAATATTATAAGTTTAATTTCTTCATGTACCTGAAAACAACATGTAAAATGTATCTTCTGTCACACAATATCTATCTAACTTTTATGAAATGTGGTAGACTTATACATTAATGTTACAATATAGAAGTTGTAATTCCTACTCACGATTCAGATTCCTTGGTGAGATGTTCTCCCTGGTCCATGCTAAGGCAACCGGCACCACCACCAAATCCGTATCCCTTGGGGCCATATTTGCGTGCATGGCACACTTTGCAGAACAGCTCACCTTCATGCTCAGAGCAATTGGTGGAGTCCAGAAGTTTATTGCACATGCCTATGCACAGAGCAGCATTACCAGTGACTTAACACCCAAATGACTAGATTTAACTAATTAGAATTTGAGGTTTTCATGGTGGCGAGTGAAGAAGGTTACCTATTGGTTGCTGTGTAGTCTTGTACACAGATGTTTCAGACATACTTACTACTTCCATCAACTGGGTGATAACTAATTGTGATGAGTCATTTTAACCTCTAAAATGTTGGTTAAATTTTACCAGACTACTGGTGCTACAACCTAGAAAACAGCCATCTTTGACTAGTTTCAACATTTATTGTAAATTTGAAAGTAGTTATATAATAAATGAGAGTTACTGTATCTACATAATCATGTATCCTTGATCACAAGATTGTTCATGCATTTAACCAAGAACATTTATCCTGTTAATGTATCCAATCTATAGTGAATTTCAGCATTAGCCCTCTTACAGTTTACCTTTGACTAATCATAATTTTTGAACCATCATAAATGAACAAATAAATGATACATTTTTTCACTTGAAATCATTTAATATCTCATTTAAGTGTGTGTACTTCCTTCCAAGACAATATCTATATAGCTTATTTGGAAGACGAATGTTAAAAGATTCTTTGACACTTAAGTCTAAAAATAATTTGTGCACTACCATATCTGAAAACAAAATTTTTATACTGAGAAATCTTATTTGGAAAACCCTTCCCAAGCTATGCCTGAGATATCTTGCTGTAAAAGACCTTCTGATCTGAATTTGTTATAAGTTTGGAAGAACAGTGAAAAAAACCCTAATTTTATTCGAAAATTATCTGTGGTCAATTTTACAAATGAACTAGGATAGACTACCTTAAAATGACATAGATGTGTTATTGAGTAATATATTCCGTGAATGATTTTATATTTCGCGCCGTTATGTTGGTCAGATTAGAAATTAACATACAGTGAAAAAAAGATGGCGTGTTAAGAGAGCGCGGTTTTCAAGTTTTGGGTGCAAAAGTGTTTTTTGGAGTTGTTCTTACGGTTTTACAGTCACAGTTTGTCAGCATTGGCAGACCATTGTTTGTGAGCAGTTTTCCGAAACATTTGAAGCGAAGACTGGACTTTGGAAGTAAGTCATAATTAATACAAATTGCTTCATTCAGCGTTTTGATATTTTTTGTATTTTAAAAAATGTCCGTAGGAGAACTAATTGCTCATGTAATGAACATTTCTTCATGAACAAACATTACAGAAAGCATGCACGTCATAAATAGAGATAAATGCTAGTGTGTTAAACCGATCTCAGTAAACCCTCGTCCAATGTGGGGATACGTTCCTCGAGAGTGGCACGTTCGGTGAATCCGCGTAGAACGAACTTAATATTGTGTGGGGGTTAAAGACGCGGGAGTGGGTTTTACTGAAGTCAGTATGTCATTTTATGCCGATCCCCCCCCCCAAAAAAAAATTGAACGTGGAACTTTTTATATTAACAATTACAAATACCTTAAGGATGTGAAACTGACTTTGTATTGGTCAATTTAATGTATTTTGAATCTATACTAGCAGAAACTATGTGAATTACTGAACTGTATAACGACTTTGTTGTTCATGTTAGCTTTACCATGTAGAATGAAATACCTTGTGGAATAGGCATAGTGAATTCTTCCAGCAACGTAATTGTTTCTATCTCAAAACCTGGTTACTTAGTTATCAATGAGTATCTCCATTTGACAGACATATCATAAAGTGGCCAACACGAATAAAAGTGGGTGGAGCAGATATACACATAAAAACAGCGTCAGCTTCGTGCTCGAATTAACTAAATACTTTATCCACCAACTCTCTGAAGCTGATTGGCTTACAAGGACACTTGACAGTAGATTTGCAGAAAAATTCAAAACTCAGCCACTACGGTTCAAGTCCCTCACTTTAGTTTCATTCAAATGTTTTGCCAGGACAATGGAGTAACCTGTATCAGTTGGGCAACGTTCCAAATTGTCACATTCAGAGCACTGTGGCTGCCCGGGTCATTGACTTCTGAAGATCCACAGATAGAGTTTGTAAAAGTGAGATTGGTCTTCTTCTTCTTCTTCTATGAATGCCTCTGGCAATGGTCTTACATTGCTACTGTCTTTCTTTTAGACTTTAGACATCATCTGCTTTTTTTAAGTCTTAAAAATCACAGTGTTTCAAAGAATGTTACTTTCTTTGTTTTCATTCAGATAAAACAAATCTGTCGACAGATTGGGAATAGCTCAGTCTGCAACAAAGTAGGTGTCTCTCACTTTTCTACCTAAATATATGGAAAGAACCATTCTTTGAAATATAGTGATTTTTAAAGTTTTAAGATTTTTGAAAAAATAAAACAAAAACAAAAAACAATGGATGTAGGAAGTTGAAATTGATTTTGCTGTTTTGTTTTTCTTCTGGGAAGGAAATTATAATGCTAGGTATCCCATTTAACATGAATCCCTCAATGACAGAACCAACTACTAGATAATTAGTTTGTCGCAAAGCAGAATGTTGTTATAACATGTTAGTAGGTAGGTCCCAAGTAACATGGAACTCTCTGTATTTCCACAAGAATAAAGTTTCAGACATACAGTAAATTATCCACTTGTAGCTTGTGGTTTAGGAGACAGAAATATGAGAAATGGTCTGAAATCTTTATACAAAGAAATAACATTTAAGTATCAATTTCTTTACTGTAAATGTTAACATCCTTTGTGAAGTTCAAAATAATGGTATAATATTAAAAATAGCCTATCATTCTGAATACATTGCCATACGATTTCACAAATTTCTCAAAGTTTATTTAATTTCACAAGATTAGGTCTAACTTTCTGTTCTGGAGGTGTCTTGTTTCAATATTGGCCAGTTAAATGGCTGTCCTGAATTTTCTCACAGTTTTGCTTACTTTCTTCATGCAGATATCAGAATAATATTTCATAACAGACCATATCCTTTTACTCTGATGGCCTTAAAATTAATCATTAACATGTTTATTTGCTGGAATGGGGGATATTTCCATTTCACTGCCCTTTGTACCCTATCATCACATGTCTACCAAACTTCCAAACAACTATTTATTTTATATGAAATAGAATAAATATGAATAGTATTCATCCTAAGCTACCATTACTATCACCGCCTGCCACCACTGGTATCTGTTTTTGATGTCAAATAGACAGCAGCACAGCTTTGACCATAATGAGTTTTACATACTTATGTAGTAATCTGTGATATTTATTATTAGTTTTAACAACAAAATAATAACTGTCTTGAAAAGCTGTGTTTTCATATATTTTAACATAAGTGTTCGTAAATTACGAGGTATCATCGATGAAATTACTATTTAATTATTAGATTTCTGAAGATGTTCCTTTGTTTTCATGTTTCCTTTAGAATAAATTAGAATAAACAGGGATTAGGATTTAAAATTATGACAACTGTGTCCCACTTATAACGTACTTGGTCAAAGCTTCGTTTGAATAAGAAAATTCATATCGCTCATACGAATATTACAGCACTGAACAATTGCTATATGTGCAGATGTTTGGAACAGTACTTACCACACTTGAAGCACATCTTGTGCCATTTCAGCCCTCCTGCGACTCGCTCCTCAGCAGCGTACACAGACTTGCCGCACTTGGGGCACTTGGGGTTTTCCACAGGCTTAAAAGGCATTTTTAATGGCGGGGATTACTTTTCTGACCTGAAATAAAGCAAAAAAATTAACATTAAAATTTATAAACAGATAAGAAACAGTCTGTTACCATTTGTTTAACAAGGATGCATAATTGGAATTCTGTAAGTTTGGATACAAGGAACCATGTTTCCTGTATTTTATTTTGGTTGAAATAATGATGTTTGCAATGGAATTTTCTGATGTCCGTGTTTGTTCTACAATGCATCATCCTCATGTGTTACTATTCAGATACCTAATGTTTATTTTAACTGTCACTTTGACACATAATGTTTACCACTCTGAGTGTTTATCGAGTTACACGTTTACGCAACGTGTGGCCATCATCAGGTTTTATGTGTCAATTTTGGGCTGAACAAAGAATGAAAGTAACTCTTGAATGCAATGATGTATCAGACCTGAAGATAGCTGAAACATAGTTTGATAAATGTTTAGAAAGTGGTAAACGGTAAGTGTGAATGTGACAGGTAAAAGAAACATCAAATTCGCGTTGGTCTTCTGGAAAGTAATGTTGTGTGGACTTGTAGACAGATATAAAACATTTAATAGAAACATATTGTGTTAATCTTTAGGACTGAAGATGGAGACGGCATGTTTCTCTGAATCATCTATTATCTGCCTACAAATTCATGTAGTGTTTTTACTCGAAGACCAAAACGTTGACATCTTCGCCACTGTGATAACCTCAAATCTCCAAATTTGATAGTTTTCTCACCCAAATTTCTGAATTTGAACAGCATCTGAAGCATGAACCTATTTATAAATCTTCAACATTGAATTCTTTCTAGTTGTGCACCTTTGTATAATGGATATTGGTTTTATATATAACATAATAGTCTAAATAATTTTAAGACTGATCAGTGGCAGATATTTTATATTACACTTACAATATGTAAATAATAACGTCGGCAGATACACTATACAAATTTTCATGCAGCCTATGGGCCTTGTTTGTATGCTTTTTATGGCATAAATCTTGAGTTTATGTTAACAGAAACATGCAAGGGATTAATATAAACATCTAGAAATCTATATTTTAACCTGTAGTTATGTATGAGTGTGAAACTTGGTCTCTCTCAATAAGGGAAGTAAAGATAGAAGGTTTTTGATTTAAAAAAGTGCTTATGGTAATATTTAGTTGTATGAAGGAGGAAGTAACGAGGCAATAGAGAAAATTACATGATGAGGAGCTTCATGATTTTACTTTTCACTAAATATTACAGTGATAAAGTCAAGAAAGATGAGATAGGTGGATAATATTAAGATGGATAGGGAAGAGTGCTGGGTTATTGTGAAATGGTAATGGATCTTCGGTTTCCGTAAAGTTCTAAAAAATTTTCTTGACCAGCGAATTGTTAGCTACTCACGAAAGACTCTGCTCAATTTAGGTATAGCAATCGAAGATTCCTTGAAATCAGTACCGAAACTTTTTTTGACATGAATCCAGGCTTCACTGTTTGTTCACATTTTGAGAATAAAGACATGGTATGGGCCGCGCCCACTACGGCACTGCAAGTCTTGGCGAGGATGTGGTGGCAGACAGATAAAGCGTGGGGGTACAGCTATTGGAAGGTCGCCAATACCAAAGCCAAGCCCACACTGCGTCGCGACGCTATCCAAATTTGGTGCGACGCAGGTAAAGTTACACAACTGCTAGTGCAGTGGTGTTTCTAGTATGCTTCGCTCCTCATATGCGTATACCACGCTACCTCTCCCATAGCAAAGCTCTGCTTATTAATTTATATATACCCCCCTCTTAAATATAGGCCTCGGATCACGAACTGGGTCACATAGGAAAAATATTTGTTTTGGCGTCAGAAAATGTCCACCTATCCAAATCACTGAGAAAAAGTACCATCTAAATAGCTTCGAGATTTATTATATTTCTCAGTCTTAAGTTTCGTAAGATGTATTTAAGATGTAAATAATTTAAATATATCCACTAAAATAACAAACAATTGTTTTTAATCACGATTATTAATTAAATTAACAGCTAATAGACATAACGTTTCCTACAGTTTTAGCTACATTAAACATTACGATATTTACCTTCACATTTTAAATATATCAAGGATGTAAGTAAAAATCTCAAAAAAGTTTATATACACTTAAAATAAAGTAAATTAAACTTCCCGAAACTATTACATTGTATACACAAGGAACGGACAAATAATTATAGCAAGGCACAATCCACACATTAAAAGTCGTTTGTAATTATCATATAATATTTGTTGGCCCAGAGGGCTTTGATTAATTCGGTGATGAACATTCGGGTTCCGTAAGTCAGTTAGTTAGTTATATTAACTCCATGCAACACGTTTCTTCTTGAGAAGGTAATAAATAAATAGTCCCTCATGTTCTACAACTTTTATGGAACTAGTGTTTATTACCGTGCTCACAAGATACCGCCACTGGTCCCTATCCTGAGTCAACTGAATTCAGTCCACACTCAAAGGCCATTTTTTAATATACAAAAATGTACGACTAGTTTTTTTCTCTTTGCGTTTATCGACTAAAATTTCGTATGGATTTCTCGTATCTCCCATGCGCTCTACACGTCCTGTCCCATCTCATCCCATCCTCTACATTTGATCACTATAATAATATATAGTGAAGAGTGTTATGTTTATTTTAGTTGTGTCTTGTTCAGTATAGATGATTATCTCAATTTTGAAATAACAAGTGTAATGACCCACTACATTAGCGTCTTCAGTAATGGGTGAATAAACCTTACAGAATTTGACATCTTAGACTTGTTAACTGACGAGTCGAATCCCCAAAGTATACCAAGAAACTAGACGGAGCGTTTAAGAAGTTTAGTTTTCTGTTAAGACAACTTTTGAAACTATTGTGTTTACGTTTCGAATAATTGAGAACGGTGACCCCACGTCACCGACTATAAAGAATTTACAGTAGTGCCAAATATTTAACCCTGAACAGGTCGAAAAAATCAGTTGGCAGTAGACAGTCATTGGCGTTTTAGCAAAGTAGAGTATTATTGGACGTGGCGCTTAAGTGCACACAGAATTTCACTACAGGTCCAGACAGAGGACACCCGCAGCTGATAATTAGGCAGGTCTGCGAGGATATAGGTAGTAATAACGAAAAACATACGACACATCTCATCCACTTAATAAAATTCTAAAAGGAATGCGTGTTTTTCGTGAAATTCGGCAGACGATTATGTCATTAGGAAATACGCTAAATTATTTTAATTTCTGCCTATGAGTATTCAAATATGGAAGACGTGAGAACTTTTTAAAATGTGATGTAAATCGCGACCGGGTTTTTTTCCTGTCTTCTTTTTTGTCCACGTTGATATTGAGCGTGAAATCAATTAACATGTTATCCAAGTTGTTAAATAACGTTCTGCTATTATATGAATTAAAATAATATAATTATTATTGTAAAATATTTGTTATTAATTCAGTTCCTTATTATTAGTGTGTTGTATCAATAGCCACTAGGCAAATTACAGATACAGCATGAGAGAAGAACACAAGAACACAATAATAAATACAAAAATGTAACAATAAAAAGATTATAAAATAAACACAGGTTCAATTCGGCTTAACTCTTCCACCTAATAGAATTCTTCGAATTTCGGCACGTGTACACGATATACTAAAATTTATCATGGTTTTCCCAAGTTCATCAAGGCTAATTCAGATATTCTGTTATAACACAGATAATGAATAATTCTAATTATGCTTACTTTCACGTTTTTCTTTAATCAATGAAAACAGTTCCTTATAAAGTTTCAATGACTTCATTATTATTACTTTACATTTATGTTCTTTGTGAACAGAATAGTGATTAGAATATTTGAACCTAATAGAAGGAAGTAACAAGAAGATAAATAAATTTGCATAACTAGTTTAATAGTTCACAAGCTTCAGCAAATATGTTATGCCTAGTAAATTACCCTCCAAGAAAAACTGGAAGTAAACACACATGACCATAAATATTATCCCATAGGGCCCAAATTCCATTAACATTATCACTATGGCAACGATTATGACAACGCACACATAACATAAATATTATCCCATAAGGTCGAAAATCTCTCTCTCTCTCTGTCTAAGCATTAAGTTATGAAACAATCTGATGTTGGCATATCGGCCAATATGAACAGAATCATATTTAAGAAGTATTATAGGCGGTAAATAATATTAGTGTGTTCTATGTCTCATTGGCCTCCGATCATAAATTAAAAATATCATCTAATTACCCATAAATAGCTCAGGGCTATGTATATGGGCTTTATTTAGGAAAACAATTTGCTTATATACTTAAATAGTTTATTTGGTTAAAACTTATTAGTCATTGACCGCAACGTATTTGGGGTTGGAACAAGATTGACTTGTATTTCAATGGAATTTTTATAAAATTAACTTATATTCTTTTGCGGTTTTTAAACTTTTGATTGGAAACCCTGCAGGTAATACACAACTTAGAAGACGTAAGAGTATGTGGAGAAAAATATGAAAGTGATTCTTAAAGAAGTAGTTTGGGTTGTTTTCAACTGGATTAATCTAGCTGAAGACATGAACTATTAGCGGGGTCTTGTAAATACGGTAGTGAATCTTGGTGTTTTGTACAACATGGAAAATATATGACGAGATGAGCAACTATTAACATCTAAAGAAGAATTTTGTTCTATGGAATTTATTTCGTTGTATTAAGAGAATTAAGAGGTTGCTTGTGTACGATACCAACCACTTGTCGTGTCAAGTTGCAAGAACGTAGCATCGGGTAAGCCAGCAAAGCAATGAATATTCAATTATGAAAATGTGATAAACTGTGACCACAGAAATTTGTCAGTAGAGCACTTCCATGCTTTCTAAATGATCAAATAATTTGATGGTTTGGAGATAAGTAAGCATAATGCAGGATTGTAAATATGTGACGTAGATGAATAACGTTTTCATATGTACTTCTCTTATGTAAGACGTTGTGTAAGGGTATTATGAAAACGTAAATCTTCCAGTAGCGATCCAAAGCATTGG